TCATCTCTCCACCCCCTAAACATTTTATTTATTTATTTATTTTATTTTTTTGTTTTTTTGAGACAGGGTTTCTCTTGTGTAGCTTTGGCGCCTATCCTGGCACTCGCTCTGGAGACCAGGCTGGCCTCGAACTCACAGAGATCCTCCTGCCTCTGCCTCCCGAGTGCTGGGATTAAAGGCATGTGCCACCAACGCCCAGCGTCTTTCCTTTTTTTTTTTTTTTTTTTTTTTGGAGACAGGGTTTCTCTGTGGCTTTGGAGGCTGTCCTGGAACTAGCTTTTGTAGACCAGGCTGGTCTCAAACTCACAGAGATCCGCCTGCCTCTGCCTCCTGAGTGCTGGGACTAAAGGTGTGCGCCACCACTGCCTGGCAACATTTTTTTTTAAAGATCTATTTATTCATCATGTATACAGTGTTCTGTCTGCATGCCAGAAGAGGGCACCAGATCTCATTAGAGATGGTTGTGATTCCCAGTGTCACCAACATAATAACTAATATAGTGGAATAATAATTGCTAGCTTTGTGTGTAGCTTCTTTCACTTACCATAATGTTTTCAAAGTCCAACTATGTTGAAGCATGTCAGTTTTTTTTTTAAGATTTTATTTATTTATTACGTATACAGTCTTCTGCCTGCATGCCATCAGAGGACACTAGATCTCATTCAAGGTGGTTGTGAGCCACCATGTGGTTGCTGGGAATTGAACTCAGGACCTCTGGAAGAACAGCCAATGCTGTTAACTGCTGAGTCATCTCTCCACCCCCTAAACATTTTATTTATTTATTTTATTTTTTTGGTTTTTCGAGACAGGGTTTCTCTTGTGTAGCTTTGGAGCCTATCCTGGCACTCGCTCTGGAGACCAGAGCGAGTCTTTTTCTCTGAGACAGGGTCTTTATCGCTAGAACAACCTATCTTCAAACTCCGGATCCTACTGCCTCAGACTCCCAAGTGCTGGCCGTGTAGGTGCATGTCACCATGTCTTGCTCACTGTTGGCTGTCATTAATAGCCCTGCTGTGGATATTTAACTTTTTGTTTTGAATGGTTGTTTTGATTCTTGTGAATATATACCCAGGATTGAAATTGCTGGGTCATCTGGTAATTCTATTTTTAACTTTTTGAAGAAACACCAGCTACATTTTTACATTCTACCGTCTGTAGTGGATCCAAGTTTTCGGTGTCCTTGTTAACACTTTTCCCTTTAAAAAAAAAAAAAGTATGTGCTATTGAAAAAGTGTGAAGTGGTATCTAATTGAGGTTTTGATTTGCATTTCTGTAATGACTAATGATGCTGGGTTTCTCTTCATGTGACTGCTGGCCATTTGTACATTTTCTTTGTTTTGTTTTAAAGACAAGGTCACTCTGTATAGTCCAGGCTGGTCTTCAATTTGGTCTCATACTGCCTTTGTTCCTGGAGCTGGGATCATAGCTATAGATTTCTATGTCCACCTCATTTGTATATATCTCTTGGGAGAAAAAGTGGTAGGCAATTTCATAGAGACAAAGTGTATGTCGATGCTTCCTACTGTCAGGGCTGGAGAGATGACTCAGAGGTTAAGAGCACTGGCTGCTCTTCAGAGGTCCTGAGTTCAATTCCCAGTGACCACATGGTGGCTCACAACCACCTGTAATGAGATCTGGCGCCCTCTTCTGACCTGCAGGCAGAACAATACACAGCAGGAAATGGTGAGTAACTTGTGGGTAAAATGTTTACATTACATTAAGGATGGCTAGGCAGTAGGATTCCTGTTTGCTTGCAGTTGCTATGACAAACACCATGGCCAAAAGCAACTTAGAGGAGGAAAGGATTTGTTTGTTTCAGCCCAGAGGTGACAAGGCATGATTAAGGGAAATTGGGGCAAGAACTCAAGAGAAACCTTGAAAGAGGAGCACTGTTGCTGGCTGGCTTCCTTATAGGGCACAGGGCTACCCACAGTGCACTGGGCCCTCCTCCATCAGCTACTACAGAGACAGTTTCCCCTGGACATACCCACAGGTCAATCTGACCTCCAGGCTGTGTCAAATGGACAACTGAAACTAAGTAGGTCAGTAGAGACAGTTGGATATCAGTTTGCTAAATGTCACTGAATAGTAGAGGATAACAGGGGCAATAGGACCTGAAACTTGAGGCGCTCTTCCTACCTTGGTCTCCCTGGAGCGCACCAAACAGTACAGACTGCCTGGAAGCTATGGCAGAGCAACAGACACTATCAAGGGGTCAGAAAAGATACAGCTTATTCTCACAGCCCAAACGTAGAGGATGACTGTGGATTACAGAGATCTAAATAAGGTAGTGTCATGTATATCCCCTCCTTCCCACGCCACCCCCCCACCCAACATTGCTCATTTGACACAAACAACTCTTATGACAGGGTCTTTCTAAGCTGGAGTAGACCTCCCTGGTGCATTTATTATTATTGTTGTTGTTGTTGTTGTTTCTTTGAGACAGGGTTTCTCTGTGTAGCTCTGGCCATTCTGGAACTTGCTCTGTAGATCAGGCTGGCCTCAGACTCAGAATCTGCCTACGTCTGGCTCCTGGGTGCTGGGATTAAAGGTGGCTCAGGACCATGCTTTCTTACCCTGTTTACTTCTATAAAGAGATTTCATTATATAGATGGTAATGTGAACGTCTGTTTCACAGGTTTAGAAATGCTTCTAAAAGGCAGTGGTGCTCCCCAAGGGGTGTGGACAAGGGGCAGGCACAGCTGTACAATTCTTGGGGGTATTATGGTCTTCGAGAAGTGCATGGTACCCAGCAATGTTGGTATCATAATTGAAAACATTGTACAGAAGTCTGTGCCTGTCAATGTAAAGGAGCTACAGGTGTTCTTAGGGGATCCCTGGATAGAGGATTTTATTACCCTACCTAGCCCAAGTCACTCATCCTCCATAGAACTTGTAAAGACTATCGTGTGGAACTGAGACAAAAAGGCTAAAGGGCTTTTCTTTCTTGTTGATAAGGCTAAATAGCTGGTGCCCCTGTCACCCCAGTGTTCCCTTTATGTTAGAATTTACCTAGCCAGGCAGTGGTGGCGCACACCTTTAATCCCAGTATTTGGGAGGCAGAAACAGGTGATCTCTGTGAGTTCAAGGCCAAGCTGGTCTACAGATCGAGTTCCCGGACAGTCTCCAAAAGCTATACAGAAAAACCCTGTCTGGGAAAACAAAACAAATAAAACCCACACACACAAAAAAATCACCCGAATCTCAAAAGGCTATAGCTGGTGGCTATAGCAGAAATAATCTGAGCAAATGGTTCCAGTAGGATTTTGTACTCAGGTGTGGATGGGGCAAACACCAGAAGAGCACTTTCTTCCTGTAAGTGAAGCATTACTAAGGTGGACCCCATCGTCTGCCCCACCTTGGTAACCATTAAAAACAGCTTGTGCAGTTGATGGTTGGAACGAAGACCTTTTGACAGAGCCTCTTGATGGTGTGGCACAGGATCGGCCCCTACAAAGGTGGCATACGTAGTTACAGCAACAGTATGGCAGCTGCCAGGCCACTCCCTACTGCCACTCCACATGCCTTCCATTTAAGCCTCGTCACAGTCCTGTGTGACAGGTATAATATCAGTATACGTGCAGGTGAAGGTGAGTAAACAGGTTTAGAGGAATTGCTTAATTGGCTGTAGTTACACAATTATCAATGACACCCACATTCTCTCTCTCTCTCTCTCTCTCTCTCTCTCTCTCTCTCTCTCT